CTTGTGACCAACTAGCAATACGAGATCAAAGCCCTTTGACTCCGGTCTTTTATTTCATTTTTCGACCTTGGTCACTATCACACCCCCATCTCATCGACGCGACTTTGACAACCCGTTCGTGCGACAAAGGATCCTGGACTCGGAGAGATGGCTGAAGACACAAAACTGAAGAAAAATCATATGGCGATCGTCTTGGGCATCGGACTTGGGGTAGTGCTACTCATTGTGCTTAGTTTGATGTGAGTGAGATTCGATTATTTGCATCGTATTGCATGTTATCTCAGGTTGTCTTGTGTTTTCCTCTTTCATTCTCATTCTCGCCGATACATTCCCTCCGTTCGTGTTACATGTTATATAGACCATCCCAGACCATCCCATTCTAACTGTATCATCTAGTCTGACAATACTCATCAATCGCCGGGATAGACAGTCATTCTTGAGCTCGAGGAAAAATCCCAGTGAGCGATTGCGCAAGTTGGATAAGGTCTCGCCAACTTGCACGCTCGAGAAGTGGTGGGCGACTACGAAGGGGAATCTCGGGCTGTCTGAGGCTGTCGATGGACAATTCGTTTGGTATGTTTGGCTTGCTTTGCCGATCGAGTAGTAGCTGACGTTCTGTTCAGCGCTGTGTGTTTGGAACAAGTAGATCGCACACAGGAAATTCGTGAACTGCGGTGCTTGCACGTTTTCCACCGGGAATGTTTGGAGAAGTGGTTTTTGGGAGACCACTTCAATTGCCCGTTGTGTCATCGGGCGTATTATGTGGCCGACACACCTCCCCGCAACGATTATGTGTGGATGGTATGACCAGATACCGGCCAGTGGTCGAAAGGGAGGATATAATACAATAACGACGTGATGAATAAATCTTTTTGGCTCGAAATGGTGTTCACGATATTATTTATTCAAGCCGCAAAACCCTCGGCAAGAGGAATATAATCGTTGTTGAAGTCCCAGATCGTATTGTAGTTCGACCAATTGAGGAAGTTGTCAAGGCCTGTTGTGACATCATCCACCACATGCTGCTGCACAGGCTGTGGATCTAGTAGTTGATCAAGGATGCGAGACAGCTTTTTCTCGGCTTCTTTGCAGGTATGGTAGTTGCCGTGACCGGGGCCTGCGACCCACGATAGGAAAGAAATAAACACACTGAGGTTGCGGATCAACTCAGCGCGCGGGAGAGTAACAGCGTGTGGACCGGGCTCATGCGACTGGCGCAGGAGTTCAAGGAGAAGGACGCTGGCGGAAGGAACACCGTATGTGAGGACCTGCATTTATTAGTAAATGTTTCTCTTCCATGAATGGAAATCGTGAATAACATACAATCCAAGAAAAGTGCCGGTCTAGATCGACCATTGGGGTCCGGAACGAATTAGTTTGAATGACAATTGCTAGCACCCGACGGGATACATCGCAAAGATCCGCTTGTCCGGTGTTTGTGTGCTTTACGACTGCTCGGTAAAGCAGAAAGCAAGTGTATAGATAATCCAAATAGAAATAGGCAATGGCAAGCCACCCATCATGGTAATGGTCGTTTAATCGCCGGTCATATCGAAGTTGATCCGGGGCGGCTTTCCATATGGCGCGCGTTTTTGCTTGAATCTCTCTGTTATAGAACGATCAAGTCAGCACCAGGAAAACATATGGATTGGACGAAAATATATACTTACTCGGACTTCTGGATTAGATTATGTTGCTCGCGGGTCCCCAGAACAACCTCAAGAGTTTCTTCCCGAATGATAGCCAATTGATAGCGTAGGCGAGTTTGGCTTACTGGGTGTAACTCCCCTTTACTATTCCACCCGGCGCTGTTCAACTCCGAAATAGCCTTGCTAAGGACATCTCCACCTGCAATCAGGACTTCATCGCTCAGATCTAATGGAGCAGCGAGTGTGCAGAATCGACCATTCATCAATGGCGGTCGTCCAACAAATGTTGCCATCATTTTGTCCATGTAGAAGGAAGCAACAAAGCAGCGCCTCCGCCACTGGTGAAGAAAGAATGGGCAGTTTTCAGTGCCATTGGTCTCCAAGTGTAGTCCAGCTGCATAAATCGTGGATACCAAGTCACCCAATCGACGCCATGCCTGATAGCCTAACAGCTGGTCAGTAAATTGATAGGAGTTGAGATCATACAGAAAGGGCAAGCCTTACTGGAATCACCGTATTGCTGTGTTCGCAACATAACATCATTGAATTGTAACATTGCCAGTAATTCATTTGCCGACGATGTCTGGTCACAGAAACCAAGGCATATTGTACTTATCACAGTCACCTGCTCTAGTAACTGGTCTTTTGCTCGGGGGTCATCCGAGCCCTGCATAATTTCAGGGTCGTTGTCTAGCGTAATGACCAATTGCATTCCGCAAATAGTGAAGATAGACCCGAGGGCCTCCCAGCGGAGGTTGCGACCGGTGAAAGAGGAACAGTACTCCTCAACTGACATAGACTTGTGCGTCCGCATCGGGCGGGAGGTATTTTGAAATATCATATTTGCCAACTCCTGTAGTTGTACCGTTGGATCACTGGAGAAGCCGTCAAAGATATTGCGCACCGAGCGCAGGAGTTCGTCCATTATCCTTTTGGGGACGATGTTGCCCCATGTCTTAACATAGAATCGTGCAATTAGCATCTCCCACACAGTAAGATTGTACAAAAATCGCAGTACATCAACCCCGGATTGGAGTCGATCGGGTTCCACTACCAACCCTACAGAGGAATCTGTGCTCTCTTCAGCTTCGAACGAAACCTCATTGCGATGCTCAGTTAAAACTGCAGAGTAACTTGTCGAGCCCAGATATCCAGGAGGAGCTGATGGTGGTTCCAATGGTGCGAAGAAACGCCCATTCCCCAGTGAGGCTGAGCCCGGGCTGGAAGCACTATTCATATTAGTATGTGCCTGTCATCTGTTGTAGGAGATACTTACTTTGAGGTTGGTTGACTAGTCAGTCGACGAGAGACTATCGTAGGATTGGCTGTATCCGAGGGTCTCCGCCTAGTCATTGGAGCTGGATGATAAAAACATTTATCGCTAATTCTCTTTGTGGTGCATCGGCGACAAACCGGCCGGTCATGGTCACATCGCTGTTTGGATCTCCGACAGGGTTCACACGACTGCAAAGTGCCATTTTTGCGCGTTGCCGGCGATGCAGAACGCCGATTGTCGTTTCTCATGGCTTGAGAACCAACGCATAGAGGTATGTATGATCAATAAAAGAAAGGGACTCCGGGAAAATGATACCCGCGATGGTTGGCAGTTTGCCTCGTCCAAATTAGGCTTAGCGTGCCATATCTAGGAAATCCGAAGTATGAGACAACGAGACAGTCAAACTATAGAGAGAGATAGACTAGTTAGTATATTATACATGAATATTCTTAAATGACAGCGATATACGCCTTTACTATGCTAAAGCCTTTATGATTTGTCAAATTCTAGAGACTCAGCGGCAATTACTATGTAGCTTCAAATTTTTGCTTCACTATCGTATTGTATCTTTTCTTTACATATGTACATATGCTAATACCTAGAATGAAATATGTTTTATTCGAGATAGCCAAGTATCCCTTGAACTTGGATTGTGTGAAGCCTTGTGTTCATGAATAGTAGATGATCAAAGACAAATAATGTTGGTTTGTTCAACATTCCAAAGCCAGACAACGATACACATACATCCCGTAAATATATATCAAAATGTCCGACCAGACAAAAATCAAAGCGACTCTTGGAATTAAGCACTAAAAAGCCCCTTGTTTGCTTCCACCCAATCTTCGAACTTTGTGGAAGGCTTCCCCGTATACAGCTCCACATTCTCCACACCAGTTTCATAGCATGCGCGGTCCGTCAGCTCATTCGATGTGCTTGCAGACTTTTGGACCATATATTCTGCTAATGGTTTATGCATTCCATGTGCAAGATACTGGTTCACGGCCTCCTCCTTGTTGATGGTAGTAAGCTTAACATCTTTGCCGATGATCTTTCCAATGGCCACGATAGCGTCTCCTTGGGTGATGAGCCGTGGGCCATACAAATACACCTTCTTCTGGCCATTCTTTGGTCCCTGTACCAAGATCGTGCCGCCCACACGGCCCATATCGCCGGGTGTGATACAATCAAATTGGAAATCAGGTGCCCAGATCTTCACCTCACCAGCTTCAATCCCCTCTTTGAAGAGCAACAAGTTCGTAACAAAGCCACCGGGCCTCAAAGCAACGTAATGTTCAGGTCCAAAGATCTCATCGAGACTGAGCTCAACCTGGGCATGGATGTAAGGGATGAGCTCAGCAGGAGTAACGTCTTTTGGCTCTCCTGCGATAGTGTAACTGCTGAGGAAGACAACAAATTCAACGCCGGCTGACTTCATTGCTGTGAGAGTGGCTCTCATGTGATCAGGGGAGCCGAAAGAAACATATGTGAATGCACGCTTTGCCCCCGATGCTTTGACGGCTGCAGCGACGGAGTCGGGGTTGGTCAAGTCGGCTTGGATTCTTTCAAATCCACCTTCCTGTTCTTCCTTTGTGCTCAGCCCAGGAATTTGCTTCTGGATGTCTCTCATAGCCAGGAAAACCTTAGCTCCATGCTCTCGGGCAGTGAGTGCCGCGACGGAGGCAACACCACCGGTGGGGCCAAAGACGATTACAGATGACATTGGGAGGAGATGGCCAAGCAAAATGGTTTGTAATATATCAGACAGGTTTATAAGGCCAAGGATTATGAATATACTGGGGACACTTGACTATTTATAAGGGAAATGAGTTAGTTAATCCGCCCTCGGGCTTTAGATATTATCTCCGGGGACCCCTCCAACACTAACTCCGGCCTAATGATGGAGATAATGCAAATAAGAGAAGGTGTTTCAAACATTTGTGAAATCTAGCCAGAAGAAAACGCGGTTGACTGCCATCAAAACCCAGAGATATACATTTATCTACCATTGTCTATATATCTTACTGGGAGTTCCGTGTTAGAAGATAGAACCATTATTGACATACTGTATACTACCTTTACTGACGTTCTGCAATATCCTTTCTCATAAAAACTGTCCTTGTATCCCAAACCTTCCCATTTCTATCCGGGTCACGATAATAATCCCTCACAGTCTTGATCAATCGGTAACCTCGACGAGCATACCATTCCTCGTTCGTTGTCTAGAGACGATAAGTTACTTGACTCAAGATTTCAAAGTATAGAATCAGACTTACCTTTGGAATGCCACCATATGTTACCTTCGCAAAATCTTCTCTCTTCTGATCATCTTTCTGAACCGTGTCTAGCATCAATATCTTGGCTAGCAATGGCTCCTGGACTGCCATGGACTCGACCTCATCCATTGCAGCCCGTCCAATTCCCTGGCCCTGGATGGTCCGCCTGATATAGAATGTCTTTATCCAGAAGACGTTCTCGGCTGGCAGGTTAAGCTCAATGTGCTCTGCATCGGGGTTCTTGGAATCCAGTGAAATGTGGCCAATAGGGATGAAGCTTTCTTTTGTCGGCTGACGTGAGACAGCATTGATTGTTGTGGCTGTATCCTGGAGCATTTCATCATTCTAGTAGTCACACGTTAACTAATAGCCATTTTGTTTGGTTTGCACTGTTGTCTTACCTTTGGCGACATCGCTTGTGAGTCATCTGATGGCAGGACCTTTTCCGCAAACTGTAAGCATATTCGACTCGTATTTGTGTTGAATACAAGACGAGAGCAATATTTGATGGCACTCACAATCCAATAGATGCATTTTTCACCTTTGAGCTGTTGCTTCTTCCATTTGGTCTCAACTTTTCCCTTGTCCCAACCGCATTCGACTCGTTGTGACACAAGACATTTCAGATGAACGTCTGAATTGGGATCCCAGGGGAACAACGTCACATTCAAACTTGAACCCATTTTAATCTTAATACACAATTAATTGTTGGAAGTGTAAGAATTAAGAGTTCCAGTCTTCCAATCTCGAGAAGACTGGGTGATGATTTATAAGCTGAAGGTATTAGTTACGGCCCGAATTACCTAGGTAACGAAATCTAAAAATCTAACCAATCCCAATCTCTTGTTAACCACTTATCGAGCGCAATATAAGACATTATTCAAATCGAATATAGCCCCAACCTCGGAATCATTACGCTGAAAATTGTTCATTCTCGGTAGGCCACTCTCTTTTCAAAAGCTAACCATACTTAAAGTATGTCTTTATTCTGCTTTCGACACGTTCTGTTGAGCCTCGTTTGTTGACGACGGCTTGGTCTCTTTCTCTAGCCCAGAGCTCACAGATGATTGAGCATTCTCGCCTGTGACTAGCCGGTGGTCGAGCCGAGCTTTTTCCTCATCCGTGGCACCAGTGAGGTTAACAGCAACCTCCTCGCCGAAGTTTTGGGCAATTTCCTCTAAGGTGAGGCCAGCAGTCTCAGGGAAGAAGAAGTAGATGACTATAATTTGTTAGCGGAATTTTAGTTGATGAGTCGATCATGGTGCGATCGGGAAGAAAACATACCTGGGATGAAGAATGCAGACCAGCAAATAATGACAAGATAGTATTTCCAGCCAACGTTGCCGAAGCCCATGGGGGCAGTTTGTAGGAGGATGAGGGTGGCTAGGTATGTCAGTTGGAATTTGGAGGCGCAATTATAACAAACAACTTACAGGCAAATTGACCGAAGAGGGAGAAGCCCATGCCAATTGGACGGATTTCGGTCGGGAAAATCTCCGAAACGTAGAGGTACATAGTGGTGTCGCAGAAAGTACTGCAGGAATGTTAGCTTAATGTATTCGGCGCATTTTGATATGTTGAATATTGACTCACCCTTGGAAGGCCAGATAAAGGTACATGAAGAAGATACCGAATCCATTTCCGACCTTGTTTGTCGTACCAGCATACTGGGCGGTCATAGCAGCCAGGCAGGATGTAGAGATGATAATGCCGACAAAGCCGATCATGTACATGCCACGCCGGGAGTTGACTTTATCATGGAGCCAGGCGCCCAGAGGATTGTAGATCAGACCTAAGCCAGGTTAGCAAACGGGGTATATAGTAGACCCTGGATGTTCATCCTCACCAGCTGTTGTCAGCCAGACAGCACTCAAGAGCAGAGGCATACCGCCCTCCATGCCCAAGTTTTTGTATAAAAGAACGGCATAGTTGTTCTAACTGTTGTCAGTGGAATATACCTTTTACGTATTGCTACACTCACGATGATTAAAGGTCCGCCAAACTCAGCGCCCCACTGCGTAAGAAATCCGATGGCCATTCGCTTTCGGTATGTTTTCCTTGTAAAGACAGCCTTCCACACGTTACCATAAGTAGCCAATTTCTCAGCCTCGAGTTGGATTTGCTCTTTCGTCTGGAAGAACTCCTCCTTGGCAGCCAAGTTGTTCGGGTCATCTGGTGATTCACGGAGCCGTTGGAGGACATGCTGCGCCTCATCGAACTTACCCTTCGAAATCAACCAACGAGGCGAACGCGGGAGCCAAGGAGATCCCAGAAGTAGCACCAACGCGGGTAAGCATTGCAAAGCGAGAGGGAATCTCCAGCCAAACCCAGACAGGGGGCCTGTTGCATAGTAGCAAGCATAGCCCACCCATCCTGAAAGCATATATCCGAAGACCAGGAAAATAGCGTGGTGACCAACAAGCCAACCACGGCGCAGAGCACTCGACATTTCGGAAAGATACATAGGGCAGACGGTTACAAGGATACCGATTCCAAGACCGCAAATAAAGCGGCCAGCCTGGAACATACTGAAAACGGTCAACACTAGTCCAATTTTAAAGCAGGAGAAGTGACATACGCCAATGAATTAGAGCCGGCCTGAAGTGCTCCTCCGAATAGTGAAAAGAAGGCACCGAACTGGATGTTTGCCTTTCGGCCAAAGAAATCACACGACCACATTATAAAAAGTGTACCGACAGCGCCACCAGCACTGAAAACACCGTTTGCTGTTGAGATCGCGGGGGTAGTGATGGTCGCATATCCTGGTTCATCCTCAGCGGGCAGGCCGAAGTAGGTATACCATCCTGGCTGGCCGATTGTACTGGAGATAATCGAAGAGCAATATCCATATGTCTATTTGTGCAAGCTTAGTAAATATCCGCCAGGTGAATATATATGCGAGCTCACCATTGACCCAATAGCCACAAAAACGATGACCAGCCTGTTATAAGAACTGGTCTGAAACCCGAACCTACCCATGATGGTCTGTTGGAGTTCTTACAACTCTCAAAAAGTAAAAAGAAAAAATCAAGGGCATACAATAAAGGATGCCAGCACCAGGTTAGAACGAGGGAGTAATTTTAACATGTCTGTAGTCGACAACAAGTAGGGGGTACTCGTAGGGGTTGTGGCCCACTGAGATGCATAAGTTCGTAAAACGCGACTGGCTTGCCGATCACGGCACGCGAACTTTTGAGTCCAGACTGTGAAATTACTCATTTTGAACATGTTAGAAGCTAAGCAATTCTAATTTGCCGAGTGAAAATTCAATTCCCACATTCTATATGTATATAGCTGTAAGTAGCTACCTAGGTGTAGGTAGTTGTATGTAGCTGCATGTACCCGGATTTTAGGCCGCGGCCCCCCCGACTTCCCCGATTGGAGTGCCACTTTAGGCACTCAGGGTCCTGTTCACTGACTTCGGGAGTATTTCACAGCACAGAGTTGATTGATTAAGTACTCTGTGACCACTCCACTCCATTCTATAGACCCATATAGACCCATAACATCTCTTACTCTTGGGGCCAGCAGCCCTATAGAGCAAGCTTGACAGTTCTCTGTGTGTACGTTCGATTGGATGTTCTCCGTGAAGCTGTAGTTGTGGTGTCATATTATAGTGGGGGGTCCGGTCCGAGCCCATTGGGTCCATAAATTACACTTCCACTACGACGCCAGACAAAAAGGTCCTTGCGGTTCATACTAGGACAAAATAGTTCTTTGCACAAAGCTCTATTCGAATACAGCATTCCGGGTCCTATACCTGCTCACAACTCCGACCAGCAGAAACAACAATAGAACAGCGGAACCATGGCCCAGTCTCCCTTTGACACCCCATTTGACCAGCTCCCGAATCCGAAACAGGTTTGGCTAGGAAAGCCAGGTAGCTATGAAGAGGGTCTAGGGAAACTAGCTATTCTTACCCCTGAAGTCGTTGCTGCGGCTTCCGCCAGCGAGATCAGATGTGGTCGACGCGTGACGATGGGATGGGAGATGACGAAGTTGGATTTTCCTAATCTCAACCGCCAGCCATGTCATCATCAGATCGTGCCTCTTCTGGGAGGGGTGGCATTCGATGATATCTATACTATGAACCCACGTAAGTTGAGAGAAATCCTGCTTTCCTCCCTTCTGTTTATTTTTTTTTTTTACAATATATTGATCGTTCGACAGAGCAAAGTAGCCAGTGGGACGGCCTCCGCCATTTTTCTCAGACAGTACCTGGTCAGTCTAAGCGCGTGTTCTATGGTGGAACAACCAGTGAAGAAATCAATGATCGCCAAAATGATCGAATTGGTCTCCAGCATTGGGCTCGAGAGGGCATTGCAGGTACTCATCTTCATCCCCTTTACGTGAATACCCCAGTTACCGTCTCACACAATTGCAATAGGACGTGGAGTTTTGATCGACTATGCTACATGGGCTGAGAAAAGGGGAATTAAATACACCACATTCTCGACCCACCAAGTGCGTTTTGCCGACATCCTCGAAATTGCCGAGGAGAGCAACATCACGTTCCAGAAGGGCGACATACTTTTTGTTCGTATAGGAGTGACCAAGGAGTGGGACACATCCATGACAGACACTCAAAAGCAAGCTTATTCGGATAACCCCAGCCCAGAGCATGCTGGGGTCGAGGCGACCACGGAAGTCCTCCGCTGGCTGTGGGACACCGGATTCGCCGCCATCGCCAGTGATGCAATCAGTTGGGAGGTGAGTGACAAGAAAAACAGACCCCAAAATCCTCGCAAGTCAATCAAGGAAAGCAACTGACAGACCCACAGGTTTACCCACCACAATCTCCTGACATCTTCCTTCATGAATATGTGCTTGCTGGGTGGGGAATGCCGATCGGTAAGTTGTCGGAGCTTTTCCCTCCGAGTTCCATAGATCCATTATATGGGCTAATAAAAAACAGGGGAACTATTTGATCTTGAGGCGTTGGCACGCACCTGCCAGGAACTCCAGCGATGGAGCTTTTTCGTGGCATCCGTGCCTTTGAACATGCCCGGTGGGGTCTCCTCGCCTCCGAATGTGATGGCTATTTTCTAGGTGCAAATTTTCTGCGGATTAGAGCATGCATGTACAACATACTGCGCATGGACTAGTTTTGTCACATCACCTGGGCAGGATTCCATAGCATGTAAACCCTATTGACCAGCTGTTGACTCGGGTGGTTCTACCCCGCTCCAAGTGTAAATGTCATGATTGTTTCATTGGATGGTACCAAAGAAGCGCGTTGGGGAGCAACGAGGGCAGCTCGGCGATCGGCCGCCGTTAATACGTGATAAATGATGTTATATAATGTGGAACGACGGCCTGGGGCGAACGTATCAGCGTGAAAGAAACCATGATGTTCAAGGCAACAGATCCTGCTTTAATAACCGTTTAGGATATACTATGAATAATGATATGCGGTGGAATTACCTAGCAAAGATAGAATAGAGAGTACACTACCGAAATGTGGAGTTTTCCTCGTATTTTTGACTTCAGTTTCCTTCGGGGCCAGACTACCAGAACTTACCCAACTTGCCACCATTCTACAGAGGGCAGACCGTGCGATCCACAGTCTATGCAAGCTCCACTTTAGTCGACGAACCCGCATCTCCAAACCATGCCGTCGTGGGTCAAAGTGACTTCGGGAAATCATGCTCTGCGTAGCCATGGTTGATGGAGCGGTTGGGGTCCACTTCCCGTATAGACTTTAACTCAATTTCAAGTCCAGAACTTCTGAGGATGCAATTAGAAACTGAATGTCATCGATATCGTCAGAGAATATGCAAACTGTTTTATGCATCTACATACTTGGGCACAGGCCTTATTATTACCATTTTGATTGATCCAATGTCGGCAACTTCAAGCGTTTTGATATGTAGGTTGAGTGGCAAGTCTACGAAAGCTTGAATGCACGCCACCATGAACTTTGCATGCAATTTCTCCGCGGTAAACCAGGGACTGAAATTTATACAAGTCTTCATACAATGTATGAGCATATTATATCGAGGTGCCAAAGCAAGACAACAGAGAAAAAGGTTGGCGAACCATACTACCAAGGAACGAATCGTTGTTAAACATTCTATTCTTCACGGACCTCGTGTGTCAATAACTAGTTCCGGATATCTGTTTCTGTTTGTGACAGATAATAAAGTTCTGTTTGTTCTTCTTCTTCTGTTTCTGTTTCAGGGGAGCCGATCGTGGGTGATCAATAGCCCGGTTTCAACCATGCAGGTCGTAAAAACATGTCGGTTTAAAATTTTCAAACAAGGATCTTTGAACGCTATTTTTGGGACCCTCTATTTTCTAGGTCCTTGGCTAAAAAGGCCATCGTATTATCTTTTAAAAGACGGGGCTGTCTTGAAACACCTGGCCTCCGTTGCTAATTCAAGGCTTACAGGAGTCTGTGATGCATTCCATGTAGTTGTTCGAACGGGGCTCTGGGGATGTGCCCATTGATCGAAGTGTGCAGCAATGGAACTACGCCTGCCAGTCATTGTGTATTATCGGCATGACAGGCTTCTTCGGTCTTCGTGTTTATACTCGATTGTTCATTCTTGGCGGATTTGGGAAGGAAGATTGTAAGTGAAATCTTTTCATGGAAGTTCACAGAGCACAGCAATGCTAACAGCATTTAGGGACATGTACAGTTGCCTGGGTAGGAATTCCATGTGGAAAGAGGGCAACATAGACTGACAAAATATCGAATAGTTCCTCGGTGTCTGCTACTCAATCATTGCCCTCCTCAGTATGTCTCTAGTGCCACTAACGGCAAGCTGTATCTAACGTAAAGACAGTGGGTCATTATGGAGGAGGTTTACACTGGTGGGATGTCCCCGATGAGAACAAGATTCCTTTCCAAAAGGTATGCAAAGCACTTGCACGCTTATCCATTCCAACTGTTGACTCTGTAGAACATCTATGCAACAATGGTCATGTATGGGCCAACAGCCTATCTCACAAAAGTGTGCCTCCTCTGGATCATGACTCGTGTATTCAGTCCCTTTCGAAAATGCGTTATCTTCATTAGGATTTTTATGGGAGTCATGTTGGCCTACTACATCCCGGCTGTGATTGTCAAAATCCGAATCTGCAGCCCCATTGCCAAATTCTGGGACCGGCGGATTGACGGCACATGTTTAGACCAGACATCGATCATCTTGGCTGACGCTGTTGTCAGTGTGGTCAGTGATATGATCATTCTCATCTTGCCATTGCCATTAACTTTGTCTCTGCAACTGTCTACGAAGAGAAAGATGCGGGTCATGGCTATTTTAGGGGCGGGCGGCTTGGCTGTCGCAGCCAGTATCATCCGGTTGGCACTTATCGTCATTACAGGACAGTCGAAGGATGTTTCTCGTGCGTTTATGAGAATAAATATGCTAGGGTATGTTCCTTTTGGCCTATTTTCATTTGACGAAATATTCTAACCGAGAAATTATTTCTAGTAACGCGGAAGTCTCGATCGGCATTATCTGCACTTGTCTCCCTTCGCTCTCGGCTCTCATAATCCGCATCTACCACGAATATTCCAGTAACAAAGCAACGCTCGAGTCTGACTACAAAATGAGCACGATGCGAAACCAGGGCACATTGGACCGAAGCAAGAATCGAATTAGCGCTAGGGCGACGGCAGACTCAGATGAGGATGGGCTCATGTACAATGCACAGGGGAATCCAAAGGTTGAGACAATCATCCGCGGTAATAGTGAGCAAGGAGGCCCGCCGAAATTGACATTTGATGGCATAGGAGTGACCCGATCTGTTGATGTATCAACTTCTATGGGGCCTCAGTGATATAAATAACAATCTCGTTTTGTTTTGGACGATAAAACAACCCAGGAAACCATTAACTATAGAGCTGGGCCAATCTATCTTTCATGTGTATAATAATATATATCTTATTCCCCTTTATCATGAATATACATATCACATTATGTTGAGAAGACGCCGAGTCCTGCATCATGCATTATACCGCTGGGACCAGGGCAAACGGCCCAGGATCAATTAGGACTGCCTACCCCATCCTGGCGTGGATATGCAGGCTACCGTAATATGCCAGATGCAATCTCCACTGACCGCCATAATCGAGAACTCCTTAGATTTACCTGTGTCTCATATATCGTCAATCATATATTGTTCCCTCTGATTCCATAGTTCCAATATCAGAGATTCCTCGCTATATTACCTTTCTAGTTGCTATCTTACATTTCTACTCCATTATATCGTAGTTTTCTTTTGACACAATTAAGATCAAAGCAGAGTTATAAAATGCAGAGACTGAAAAGCTTTACGTATATATAGGTAGCTATATGTACCCCCGTAACTACATCTCCCCAAAGCCCTTGCAACACCTATCATAGTGTTCTATACGTACCTACCTAATCGAGGTAAATGTTCCCTTTTTGGTTTCCTTTCTCTTTATACACATATCTCACTCTCGGTCAAGATTCTGTCACAAGTAATCGTCTTTTTAGACAGGTGCATTGACCGCCACGTCATTAACCCCCACCGCCAACCTTGCATTGGAATAATTAGACATATAATTTATTTGCCTTCCATTTGTTTTCTAGAGAAACATTCCTTCTGCTCATCTTTCTACTGGGTTCCTATACTCAACATCCCATCCTCCATGTCTCTCTCACGTCTCCCGGCTGAGCTCATCGACATAATTGTCGAGTTCCTCCCGGAAAGACGTTACCTCAACTCTTTGGCGCAAACATGTTGGCGACTACATCATATGCTGAACCCAATACTATATCAAACCAGCGTTCGTACATCACACGGGTTTCCCCTTGTATGGGCAGCAAAGCATAGCTCCGAAATGACCATCCGCCGAGCATTTGATGCTGGAGCTTCCACACACTCCTGTCATCACAACCTTTACCGATCGCTCGTCGCGGCAGTGAACAACAGCCATGAGAATATCGTGCGTCTGATACTGGAACAAAACAAAGACAAAGATCCTAGTGTATTTATAGAAAATGAGAACTGCGAGCTGTGTGGAGATCAGGGATCTTATCTCAACCCCTCAAAAAACAGACCTCCACTATATTTGGCGGCAGTGCGTGGCAACGTGACCATTGCAAGGCTCCTGCTTGCCTATAACATCACTTTCAAACATGACCACAGACACGGCAGTCCAATAGGCTTTGACTTTGTACTTGCGGCAGCAAAGAACGGACACCTGGCCGTTTTGGAAGTTTTCCTCGAGGCTGGCTACGCCTTAGACAACAAAAGAAGGGGATACCGGAATAAGACACCACTCTATGTTGCAGTCAACCAGGGTAATACAAAATTGGTTGAATACTTGCTGGACAAAGGAGCCAAACCCTCGTGTGATGATGAACCATCTCTCACATCCGCCGCGAGAAAAGGGCACCTTGAAACGGTTAAATTGCTCCTGAAGCGCGGAGCAGACCCCAAAGGGCATTCTTTGGGTCGATCGGCCCTTTCTTGTGCGGCTGGCGAGGGCCATTTGAAGGTTGTGGAAGTGCTCTTAGAGCATGGAGCGGATCTTGATCTTGATACGGATGAAGGTTGGCAGGGTACACTCTACCATGTAGCTGTAAGAGGTCGGCTGAAAATCCTTCATCTTCTGTTGGCGCGTGGAGTGAACATATACCCCAAGGAGCCAAAGGAAAAATGTGACTTGCTGTCTTCAATAATCGGAGATAAACATTGGAGACGTGTTAGGAGGCAGAAACGGGCTGCCTTTGCTAAACTTTTTCGAACCATCGTCGATTTTGAGGACATGATAGACCACGGAGATGACGAAGCACAAGCTCAGGTTCTGTATATAGCTATTGGCTATGGGTGGGATGATGTTGTGCAGCGTGTTCTGCAGCAGGGGTTTTCCGCAGAAGGGGTCTATCTTCACAATAAAGCGCGGTACGACAGGCCTATACTCCAGGCCATTGACAACGGCCATATTGGAATTACCAAACTCCTTGTCGAGCATGGTGCGAATATACAGGAGTACCAGGGAGAAGACACGGAGGAAGGCGCGCTTCCCTTGGCAATCCAATTGGGCAATGTACAAATTGCAGAGCTTTTGATCGACCACGGGGCTGATGTAAATTGTCTCAGCAGCCGTGGAGAAACAGCTTTGGCTGAGGCGGCAGCCGAGGGTGCAAAGGGTTCCGCAAATATGTTTCGCATGTTGCTTGACCGAGGAGCAGATCCGACAAAGACTCCATCACACGCTGATGAGAACGCTATTACCAGGGCATTGTACTTCGGCGCACTGAATGCGGTACAGGCATTGGTGGAGAGAGGCATTGCATTGGAAATGCCTCCATTGCCCAAGAGGCAAAATATACACAAGCACCACAGAGGGCTTTTTTACCCAAAGACTCCCAAGAAGTTGATCGAAGAAGCATTCTTAGGAGGAGAAGAAATGGCGGAGCTGGTCTTGGATCGCGGGCTGTTGATAATTGACCCTGAGAGCACTGAGGCGCAAGACGGGTTAGTGCACGCTGTCCAATGTAGGATGGCTGGGGTGGTGAAGCGGCTACTCGGTCGAGGAGTTGATCCCAAATTATCTTCAACCTATCTTCGCCCATCTTTGCTGGTGGCTGCGGCATATTCCCCTAGCACTGACGATACCATCAATGCTACAGCCATTCTTGACATGCTCCTAGCCCATGGTTCTGATATCGAGGAACGGTCTTTTCCTGGCATGGCTCCCTTGTACCGGATCATTGTGCAAATCAATGCCGACGCGCAGTGGGTTTTCGGTCAAACCGAGGTACGACTCTTGTTAGAGAGAGGAGCAGATCCCTTCGCGGAGCATGACCGCTGGATTCTAGACGTTACAGAGACAAGGGATGGCCACGCTTATTCCGACTCACTATTCATGAATAGACGGTCACTCCAGAACGCCAAGACATGGTCGGATGACAGCCTCCCTAGGAGAATGGTTAGATTTCAGCGCGAGAGTTTGTCAGGCCAAGGCGATGACCCATTCCTAGCATGTATGAGACGGGGCGATAAAGCAGTGCTCAAGCTCATGATTGACGCAATTGATCGGAAAAAAATTCCCTTGGAGGAGTTGAAGGAGAGACTTGACCGAGCCCAGATTGAAGCGACCGAGAATGGGAACCTGCACCTTCTACCCATTCTGGAGGATTATTACTGGGCAAAAAGATATCCATGCAAGTAGATGAGGATTCATTCACAATAGCAATATGGTATCTGCAAATAGATTGGCTTGAATGATGCTGAAACGACCCGCTCCAAGGTATAAGTGGAAGAAGTATTCTACGCCGAATGGAAAATATGCACAGTCAAAATCAAGAGATCTTTCCAATCCTCTTCCTTCCAATATCCATCTTGGCTTTCAATCTAGGCATATCGTTAGTAAAGCAGATTGAAACAAGTGGGAAAAGGGCGTAAACGAACATATCAGCCTCTTCATCCGCCAGCCTCAGCAGATCATTTTGCACCTCAAGCTCCTCATTAATCCGGGTGCCGAGTTCTCTCTGTCGAATGATTATCTTCCTCAACTCATCCACATTATCATCCTGACTCTGCATCATCTGCCTCTGCAACTGCAGCACACCCTCGTTGTCAAGTTCTCGAGTCCGCTCCGTCTCTTTGCCAAGGACTCTGCCCGTCCGCGCCGGCGTTCTACGCCCACTAGACGTATCTCCAGCGCCATTCGTAGCATTGATCAAAGCTCCTTTATCTTGGATGGATGCGACAGTATGATCAAGCCGGCTCTTAGTTGCCATAGCGTGCAGGAGATCCTCCAGGCCGTCTTTTTCCTTGCGCGCATTAATGAGCAGGTCTTTTCGTCGGCGGATCTCGCCTCCTCCGAGGCTGGATGATGTCTGTGAATGGGAGCCCTTATCCCCACGTCCTAGATTCTTCAGCCCCTCGTCCAGAGTGGTGATCATTGTCCCCGCACGGACAAGACTGCCCTTCGCCTGTGCAGAGCTCTCGTGTTGCTTCTGTGGAGTTGTCTCCTGATCTCTGCGGGATAGTTGTAGTCGTGCATCATGGAGGTGGTTCTTCATGTCACGGTAGTAGTCTAGCCATAACGTCGGGTCTGTGATGGGTGCGTTTGTAGCGGCAGGATCTGTGATGGCAGCGTGGAGTCGGGTGGAGGTAGTTGTTGATCCGGTGCCCGTTGATGCGACTGCGGTGGGGAGGTTGAGGAATGCACGCCATGCGGGCGAGGTACGCCAGCGCCCATCTTCGGACTCGTTGATCGCCCGAAGGTACTCCTCTAAGCCACGACGGCGGTCTTCGCGCAATCGATCATTCGAGACGGTTTTTGAAAACCAGGTTTTTGAAGGTAGGGGAGCTGGTGGAGGGGCATTGGTTTGGGAGATGAGGGTGCTATGGAAGGTTGCAAAGTCCGAGTAGCGTTTGGGGACCGTGAAGGAGCGGAGCGGAAGGCGGAGGGTGATGTGATAGACGGTGTATGGCGGGGAGGTGTTTGAGAGAGTGGTATTCGGGATCGATATCTCAACGGTTGGCGCCATTTTGATTAGAATTGGAATGAAAATGGCATTCTTCTTAGAACTTGAGGAAGACAAAGAGGTGAGGAACTGCCCAGGTCCCGGGGGGGGCGCATGACGCAAACCTTGGAAAGCTTAGACCAGCCTAGTAGGCACCCGATATGCCCTATGACCAGGCACTACGTATAGAACACAAGACAACACAAGACATTGGCACGGTGTAGCACGGAATTAATATTAAATAACAATGGGTATCTCATACATGCAAATTAAATCCATTTAATCCCAAACCTCTCGTTCCTGCAACAGATCCCGCTGGCCAAAGAACTCACCAACAACCGTGATGATCATGTCGAGCAGGGCATGGGTCTGTATCGACCAATCGCTTTCCTCTTCCTCTTCTTCATTATCGCAGCTAGCAGGCGTCTTGATAGAATCGTAATTGTTCTGCAGCCGAGCTTGCAAGCGCGCCTTGGCTGCCTCCAAGTCGGATTCTTCAAGCGATGCATCAGGCATGCTCGAGTCTTGCGCTTCTGCAGCCTCCGGCAATTCTGCTTGCTTACTTTCCTCCTCATTCCGACCTATAGTTTCCGGCTGAGCCTCTTCTTCGGCCTCTTCCTCGCCTTGGACCGTAGGTCCTGACTGGGTTTCCGGCTTGGTCGCTTCCTCATCTTGGGCCGTAGATCCCTGCTGAGCTTCTTTCCTGGTATCTTTCTCGCACTCAGCGAGGTTACCCTGCTGGGTTTCCTTCTTTGGTCGGTCTGCCATAGAAGAATCGACGTCCTCCTCATATTCGTCGTTCTCTAGCTCTTGCACCTTGCGCAAAATTATCGCGGCTCGTTTCCCTAGATTTCGGATGACTCCCACCTCTCGGGTAGAAAGTTGTCCAACCTCGCGGCACTTCCCCAACAGGCCCCAAGCCCATGCTCCAATGCGCCGTACGCGCTGTGTGTCGTCGCCCCGCACAACATCAGACATCATCCGTGCTAGTATTTCCAGCACTTCTAACACGCTGTCCATGTCCATGCTTGCCAGCTGAACCATGCGTGGTTCTACTGTGACCAAAAGCCGACGCCATATTTTATGTGCAGATCCGGCCTTTCGGGGGAGACTGATAGGGTGGTCATTGTCAAGGGTGTTGATAGCCCCAGCGGGTGGACTGCATCGTAGCGTCGATCGCAAGAGGAGGAATCGATGTCGGAGAAGATTGTTGTAGGATCTTTGTGTCTCGGGGTAGAGTTCATCCAGCTTTGAAGGGGAATGCGCGGCCTTGCTTTCGTCCACATCCTCCGCAGGGGCAATGTAGGCTTCGTCCTCGTAGAAGCCTGCTGGTAGAGGAAGACTATTTGGTTCGAGTTGCTTCAGGTCATGGTGCGTGTTCGATGTTGGATTTGAAGGGTCTGTGGTCTGAGTAGGCGCAGAAAAAAGGACGGGTAGTGAGTTTGCTTCGGATCTATCGAGGAAAAATTAGTTCAAACTGGGACCAGGACACGCGCAGAACCGGGAAAGCCTCGGCATCGTTTAGAGAGCAAAGCGAAATCTCTTTAGATTCAAGGTTAGACATACCGAACCATGCGTAGGTATTCCAATCCATCCTCCGGGTCATCGTACGGCAATTCATCGTCTCCGTCATCCAACCCGGGGAATGCGCTCTTTTGGCCATAAAGGGGATTATGACGGGGACGCTCATAAGATGCCGTTGAAGATTCGTCATCTTCATCGTCATCATAGGATATCCGAGGACGCTTCAAGGAAGGGGGCGACATTATGACTTTTCTCTTGTCGGGCATAGTGAGGTGAAAGTGGTAGAATCGAAGGAGCTTGGGCCAATCTGCAGAAGCTTAGAGTTACTCAACAAATCTCTATGTATGGACTTGACCACCTATTAACTTAATGTGATACGACATTCCTAGGATAAGAAATATTCATCTGCTTGTTTAAGACTAATATTTCTGGTTTTATTTAGCTACAAGAATAGTCCGCCGCTTATGCGGCCTTGCCATACCTTTTTGGTAGTCTTTTTGGATGTTTTGCTAAGTGTACACAAAGGCGGTAAAACGAATATTTTGTGCAAGAGATCTTTCTACGTATAACTAGGAATTATAATCCTAGATCCAACATTGAAACGGTCCATGTCCATATGTACATCCATGGATGTATACAAGCAAACCCAAGGCGGTGTAAAATAATTGTTTATCGAAGGCGGGGACCTGCATATGCCGGCAAAAAAGATAAGGATCGTCATCGGCCTATCTTTTACATCCTCAAGTACTCCGTACTGACTCTCAATACACCCCTCATGTCTTGTTTTTTCATCACTTACCCTCCACGCCCACTCCTTGGACCTTGTTTTACTGGTCTCAATTGACAGTCATTTCTGCCTCCATTCTCAATCAAGCTAAGGGAAAGTGACCTAATAACCCCCCTTCACTTGAGATGAGCTATCTCTTTGCCTCCCCTCCCTCGGAAGCGGCTCGGTCTCTCTGTTGCTTCTTCTTCCCCATCTTAATCCCGATTTTGCCACGAACTCTCACACAAAATATTTCGGACACGCTGGCGATTTAAGATGTCTATTTGAAAAGTCTTGTTTGTTTGACTTGGAAAATGCCGAAGCTGGTCGATTCCTCCGAAATCATGACTTCTCAGCGATATGTGCACCTCCCTACAGAGATCTTAATGCACATCGCCAAATTGATTTTTGATGATTGGCTTGATTGTTGTGCCGATTTTCCCCACCCCCAAGTCACGCTTCAAAAGTTCTGTGCGGTCTCTCGTCAGTGGTACTCTGCTGGCATCGAATTTCTCTACTGCCGACCTCAACTTAGCAAAGGGAATAGCTTCTCGCTCTTTGTCAACACCGTGTGCCCACCAATTCGCTCTCGAGGACGTAAAGCGGACCTAGGATCGCTCGTTCAGTTCCTGAACCTCGAGGCATTGGTACATCATAGCTCCAATAGCGTGACGGCACGGCTTCTAGGTCGAGTGAAGAAGAATCTGAAGGCTTTTGTTGCTCCAAGAGTCTCTTTCTCGTGAGTGAATTCTGGCTATCACAACATGCCATTCAACCCTAAGCTAACCTATCTCCACAGGATCAACAGCCTGGCGCCATTAGCAAAATGCAAAGAGCTTGCCCACCTTAGCCTTAAGTTGGTAGCCGAGCCAATTCCGCTTTCTGCTATTAAGAAAGCCATCAGCAATCTCGACAAACTGCGATACCTCGAGCTTCCATCTTCGATGTTCATCACGGACGACGGTTCCAGTGAAGATTGGCCACCCAATCTGGAGTCCATCAAGGTTGGCGGGCAATTTTATGCCGAGGAAATGTTTTATTTCAGGTGGCCCCGCAACTTGACAGAGTTGAAATTGTGTGGTTGCGAAGATCTAGACACGCCCGTTTTGGAACATATCGTGATGAACGAGCAGATCCGCACCACGCTTACTAAATTGAGCATCCACCGTTTGAATGGCAAGATGTTTAAGCATGGACCAACTCAGATCTTAACAGAACTCGATAAGTTGCATTCTCTTCAGATACCCGTTGATCTGCTTTACCATTTACTCATTCTTCCTGCGTTTGATCCAGGGGACTTTCCGTCGTCGATCCGTGAGCTAGAGCTCACGGCACCATATGACGAGAATTTTCCTATGGTGATGGATCCCGATCATATTTGCAAGGCCTTGAAATTCAATCTTTCTCGGGTGTGCTATCTTGGTATCAGCCCTGGTTGTCTTCAAGTAATACCTGAAGCAACACATGCCAAAATTGACAGGTTTGTGTGGAAGAACATTGATAAGTGTCCTGATGAGGAACTTGATTCTTTGTGTGACTTTGGTCTCGTTGTCATGGATCAGGAGCCAGTTTGTTAAGCGTTCATGCATTTTTGTGCAACTACATCTGTGTACATCAGCCTTTTATGAATCATGTTACTGCCCCAGCAGCTGTTTTCTAAGCGATACATAATAGCACAGCCTGTAAAACAGAATTTATGAAGCGATAGCACTATTTTATGCAATTTATCGTTTCTGTTTTTTGTTTTTTTTGTTTTTCTTTTTCTATTTGAATCGAAAGAGAAGTGTAGGAGCTTGAGAGATGTATAGAGTGGGGAAATGGGAATCCCACGGGAAACATCGGGCCGCACAGGAACCCGGCAATGACGTACATTTCCTTCTGTACACATTCCCTAGGATCACCTGGGCACTACCACAATGAGATCACAATCACTTTGGCGGTCATTTGGCCTATTGCAGCGCCAATCTCTCTCTTCTCGTAAAATAATCACCCACCGAGCTATCCAGACAGCCAGTTCTCGACCGGTCCCCAACTTCGCATTTGCATTTGAGTGAGTCTTGACCAGTGAACGCAATCCACTCGATTCTCTCCTAACATACTACAGCATTGATGGCGTTCTCCTCCGCGCTTCGAAACCTATACCTGGTGCCGCCGACTCGCTGGCTCTCCTGAAGGAGCAAGGCATCCCCTTTCTTCTGCTCACAAACGGCGGCGGTAAACACGAGACAGAGCGCGTCGCAGAAATTAGCGAGAAATTAGGGATCCCATTAGATGCTACAGATATTGTGCAGAGTCACTCTCCCTTCGCTGAGCTAGTCAAGGGATCGGACGAGTCGAGCGCTCTGGAACACAAATGTGTGTTAGTGGCCGGAGGCGATGGGGATAGCTGTCGGCGCGTGGCAGAACAGTATGTCAAGGATCCCTTTCCCCGTTTCGAATGGTATATGCTAAGCAATGGTGATAGGTATGGGTTTAAGAATGTTGTCACCCCTGCGGATATTCTCATGGCCAATCCCGCTGTCTGGCCGTTCTCGAAGAACTTCAGCGACTATTATAAAACATTTGCCCGACCGCTTCCGAGCCCCATTGACCCCAATGATCCATCGAAGACTCTGAAGATCGACGCTGTCTTTGTGTTCAATGACCCTCGTGATTGGGCATTAGACACCCAGGTTATTATGGACCTCCTCCTCTCATCGCAAGGACGTATGGGCACTTTGTCTGAAAAGAACGGCCGAATTGATCTTCCCAACCATGGTTACCAGCAGGATGGCCAACCCCATCTATACTTCTCTAACCCGGATCTGTGGTGGGCCGCCGCTTACCCCTTGCCCCGTCTTGGTCAGGGCGGATTCCGAGAAGCACTTGAGGGCGTTTGGGCTGCAACTACAGGTGGCCCCAGCAAGGGTATTGAGTTGAAGAAGACTGTGATCGGCAAGCCTTACCAACCCACCTACGAGTTTGCAGAGCGTCAATTGCTTCGGAACCGACTGAGAACATTTGGAAGCTCGGCAGAGCACACGCCCCTGGAAAGAGTATACATGGTCGGTGATAATCCAGAGTCGGATATTAGAGGAGCCAACTCCTATCGCAGTGAGATTGGCAGTAGCTGGCACTCGATCCTTGTCCGCACCGGGGTATACAGTGGCGGAGAGCCTGCTTGGATTCCTCAGACAATTGCCGACAATGTGTACAAAGGTGTTCAATGGGCACTGAAGAGTTCGAAGTGGCCTGCTGCTTGATTGTCAAGGGACACTAGACACTACATTGGTATAAGGATTAGCATGAATATGGCGCCAATTGTATATTTATATGTGTTCATTCTAGACAGTTACCAGCATCACCCCACATAAGTGCGTCCAATGCATTTTATTCAGGCTACGAAGTGATAGTAAACGTTCGAATAATTGATTACATGCATGCATGTATACAGTCAAGCTGGTAGAGTTTAGATCTGCGCAGAGTCCCCACACCGCCTACCCCTCTTAGGGCTTGATCATTCGGCGGGGTGAGTCAACGGAACACTTTTCTTTGCAGCTCTACTTACAATCAGCCTGCTGCATTAAGTCCTGCAAATTTCTCAGGATATAAAATCATCGAGGTAGGATCCAATACCCCCAACTCAACACTTCGCCCCCTCTAATTGTCCTCGAAGCACCATGGCCGACTCCGAATTGCCCCACCGTCCCAAGCCCGAGGCACAGGATGCCTCCGCTCCCGCCGCGGAAGGCGAGACCAAGAGCGCAAGCAAGAATGCTCTGAAGAAGGCCGCAAAGGATAAGGCCAAGGCAGAGAAGGCTGCGGCACGTGCGGCGCAAGAAAAGGCTCAGGCCGCCGCCCAGGAAGCCAACGACACGGCCAAGGATCTATACGGTGCCCTCCCAGAGACCGAGGACGTCGTCCCTTCTACACGATTCAGCGAACTCTCCGAGGAACACTACGAGAAGGAAGTGACAGTCGTGGCTCGTGTTGACAATGCGCGTGTGCAGAGTGCTAAGCTTGCATTCTTGATGCTGCGCCAGCAGGGACAAAAGGTTCAGGCCGTCATTGCCGCCGCGGAGCCCATCTCGCGACAGATGATCAAGTACACCGGTGGATTGAACGTCAACTCCATCGTGCAGGTCACCGGTATTGTGAAGAAGCCTGAGATCCCCATCTCGTCCGCATCCATCAGCCACCTCGAGATCCACATTCGCAAGGTCTACATGATCTCCGAGGCTGCGCAGATGCTCCCCATGCAAGTCAAGGATGCCGAGCGCCCGCCCCCAGAGAACACCGAGGAGGGTGCCCAGGTTGATGCCGAGGGTACTCCCATCGTCACCCTCAAGACTCGTCTCGACAACCGGGTCCTCGATTTGCAGACCGAGACCAGCCAGGCCATCACCTGGATTTCCAGCGGTGTTTCCCAGCTTTTCGCTGAGTACATGATTAAGAGTGGCTCTCGATGGATCTTCACACCTAAGCTGGTCGGTGCCGCCACAGAAGGTGGTAGCGGTGTTTTCGAGGTCAAGTACTTCAAGCGCAACGCCTACTTGGCCCAGAGTCCCCAGCTCTACAAGCAGATGTGTATCGCCGGTGATATGGAGAACGTCTTCGAGATTGCCCCCGTGTTCCGTGCGGAGGACAGCAACACCCACCGTCACTTGACCGAGGTATGCATCTACTGATATATTTATTCAAATAGCCAAGAACATATTATTCTAACATGATCTACAGTTCTCCGGTCTCGATTTCGAGAAGACCTTCCGCGGTCACTACCACGAGGTTCTCGAGTTCGCCGAAGACCTCCTCGTCTTCATCCTCACCCAGCTCAAGGAGCGCTACGCATCCCAGATCGCCACCATCCAGAAGTCCTACCCCAAGGCCGGTGACTTCAAGCTCCCCAAGGACGGCAAGGCCTTGCGCTTGAACTACATGGACGGAGTCGCCCTTCTGAAGGAAGCCGGTGTCGACGTCACCGAGCAAGAGAACTTCGAGAACGACTTCTCCACCGCGATGGAGAAGCAACTCGGCCAGATCATCCGCGAGAAGTACGACACCGACTTCTACGTCCTCGACAAGTTCCCCATGGCTGTTCGTCCCTTCTATACCAAGGCCGACCCCGACGACAAGCGATTCTCTAACTCCTACGACTTCTTCATGCGTGGTGAGGAAATCATGTCCGGTGCCCAGCGTATCAACGATATCAAGGAGTTGGAGGAGTCTATGCGCGCTAAGGGTCTTGAGCCTAACCAGGAGGGCTTCGAGGATTACCTCAATGCTTTCCGCCAGGGTTGTCCCCCTCACGCTGGTGGTGGTCTCGGTCTCAACCGTATTGTTATGTTCTTCCTTGGCTTGCCTAACGTCCGTTTGGCTTCGCTCTTCCCCCGTGACCCTCAGCGTCTGCGTCCTTGATTTCGCACTCTGTGGGACTATCTCATAACATTACAAGCATATAAAAACAAAATACTTTACTTTCATTTCATTTCAACTATATATCCATATTTTGCTTTGGCGGTAACTTTAATGTGAGTAATATAAAGCAAACGTCCAAGTTTAGATCCTTGTGAGTCGGCCTTAGTTTACTCCAATTTAAATAGTGGGTAGGTACCATTAAACCCAAGCTTGCGATTGAAGTCTATACGGCAGTGGCTGCTACACTACGAACAGACTGCAGAAACAGCAATAGTAGGCATAAATATAATATGATATTTGGATGAAAAGTTGCATTGACGAGTTTTGAGGGGTGGACGACGCAATCTAACGAACCAAGACACATGAAAAAAGACACACGCTCTTGTCCCCCCAACCAGGATTAAGCACGTAACGACAAAAAGAAAAGCAGAGAGAAGGATTAAGACACAGAAGCAATCACAGCGGCGGCAACGCCCTCCTCTTCTGCTCGGACAGTGATCTTGGTAGTGACACCGGCCTTGCTGGAGTAAGCCATCTTGATGAGAGAAGCGACACGGCCGCCAGAGACGGTCTTGCCAAACAGCTTGAGCGTGTGCGTGCTGCTATTGAGTGCGACATCGGTACCCTCGAGGGGCTGCAGAGATAGCGCTGAGATCAGTTGTTCCGTGGCATCTGTTCGGATAGTCAGTATCAGGATCTATGGCAGAGAATGATAAATAGGAATTGTACGTACCGTTGATACCCTTCATGTTGCTGAGCTGCAGGGTTTCGCTCTCCTCCTCACCGTTGGCGCCGGTCTGCTCCCAGACGTGATCGAAGCTGCCAGCGAATGTCGGGATGACATAGTCGCTGCCTGTCAGCTCGAGGTCCTCTACCTGGTACTCGTCGTCGTAACCACTGTCCTCGGGCTCGCCGCTTGTAGGGTCGATTTCTTTGCTGGTGAACTTGAGGATGTTTGTGAAGGAGGTGACGGGGACGCTGTTCTCGCCGGTGAGCTTCTTGAAAGCGACGTAGACAACACCAGGCTGGTCGGTGGGTAGCTTGGGGGCAGGAATGATAAAGTCATCCTCCAATACGTCCTCTTCCTCTGGCGTGGCAACCACGGTGACATTCTCGAGAATGGTATCTGGAAGTGTGTTCTTAATATCATATTGCACCACGATGTGTTCCTTGAAAATGTGCTTGACGGCGGTAACAACATATTCGGTCTCGCTCTCGGAAAGCTCGACAGGCGCAGAAGACTTGAGCAAGATACCGTACGCCTTGATGTCGGGGTATTGCAGAAGTTGCTCTGCGTATTTCTGGGTGGCAGAGGCACTGGCCGCTTCGGCCATACCGCCGGCGGCCTTGCCCTTCGGGGGACCGGCTGAAGGGGCCTTGAGAGTGGGAGTGGCTGATGTAAGCTTCTTGGTCCTCTCTTCAGCCAGGGCCTGCTCGTGTGAGACAACGGGAATGGTGGCAACATCGAAAGCAGTAGCGAAGGTCTCCTTATCACCAGATGTCACGTACATGACGAGCTGGTGTTCAAAGGTGGAAAGGGAGTACATTGAGTCTAGAACCATTAGTATATTCAATAATGCCAGCCATGGACAAGACCTTACCGTTCTTAATGAAAGCGCTCGCCGACTCATCCTCTTCGCCCATGAGACGCAGGTTCAGGGCAGCACGGTCTCGCACCTCGTCATCGGTGTCATCAAGACAACGGGTGAGGAGAACATGAACACTAGACTTGACTTCGGGGTCCTTCTGGCCAACACCAAACTTGGCCAATGCGGTGACAGCAGCGGCGCGTACGATGGCGTTCTCCAATACGACACGGTTGTAGATGTAGCGGATATACTTGGTGGGTGAGGTAGTCTTGGGGCCCTCAGAACCAAGCAGGTGCAGGATTCTAACCGAGAGCTTGGTGAACTCGCAGTCCTCAATGAACTCACAGAGGTGGGCAAGCGCATCTTCCTTGCTTTCAGGAACGAACTTGATCAAATCGAACATGCTCTCAACAACAGTGCGCTTGAACTCGTATCCACCCTCGTCCCGCAGGATGCCACTCAAGAAAACGAGCATACCGGCCTGCTTGCTGGGGAACTTCAAACACAAAGTGCGAATGGCCTCAACAATAGTGACCTTGAACTCGTCGGTAATATCGGCCATGAAGCCCGAGATTTGCTTCATCAGACGGTCAACGCTAGCTTCGTTGCCGGTCTTAAGCAATGTCGTGATGGCGAACGTGGCAATAGAGCGGTTCGAGTTGGAGATGAGAGACTCCATATCGGGGTTGCAGACATTGACGACGTGTGGCTTGAAAGAGGCGAAGTTGTGTAGGATACGGATGGCAGCGAACTTGGTGATCGAGCGGGGAGAGGACAGGAAGAGCTGGAGAACGTGAACTGCCTGAGTTGCCTCGGCGTCGGTGACATCGCGCATATCGCAAATAGCCTTGGCTGCCTCGAAGTTGACCATCTCATGCTTGTGGCGGAGCCAGCCATCCAACATCTGCATCATGGGTTTCCGGAGACCTTGGTCCTCCTCAGCCAATTTGGCCGCCAGACGTACCAACAAAACCAGAGCAGCCGGGCTCTTCACCACACCTGCAGCACCGTACTGCTGTACCATCTTGACCAAAGACATGCGGTCGTGCGAGCGCATCTGGTACAAAAGACCGATGGCATGGTACTGTGTCATGAAATTCGAGTTGGAGATGGCGTGGCTCTGTGAGCTCGAGGAGAAACCAAGGAACCCGGTGGATGATTTCGATGACGAGGCCGCTTCCTGTGTTTCGCTCTGCCATCTCCGGACAACATCGCGCGCAATGGGGAGGAGGTGGTAGGAAGAGACCAGGGCCGCGGAGGAGACCGAGGGGGTCTTGTCAACAATGGCGGTCTTGATAAGTCGCTCGATACCTTGTACTGTGGAACCCTTTTGCAATTGTCAGCAAATCCCCTCAAGCATTGAAGTCCTCGCGACCGGCGACCTACATCGATAATGCGGCAGAGCGCTCTGATGGCATTAGCCCGGTACAAAACATCGCTTCCCACCGCGGTGTCCTTCATAATGATACTGGTCGACATGATCACATCTTCGGCGGTGCCAGCAAGCTCCTTCAAGATCAGGTACACCATCTGCCGCAATGACGGGTCTTTGTTCTGGAAAAGCTTGGAGATTCCGAAGAAGAGGGTGGTGGCTTCATTCGTAGGGAACTGCTCCCCGGTGAACATAAGGACAGCGATCTTGGTGAGTAACGTTCGGCATGTTCGCGGCGAGATAGGAGAGGAATTGAATAGACGTGCTAGGAGAATTATATCGTCAGCATTGAATATGTGCAGCGCATGAAGGCGCCAGGGGGTATTGTTGATTGCACACCATCTTGGAAAACGGAGGTCCGATCAAGCTTGATCATGACCTGGTCCTCATCTTCGTTTTTCTTCATGTAACTCATCTTGCCCAGCAGCTGGTATTGCACCAGCAATGAGTGGTTGCTGTCGTATTAGAAAGGTGGAGTTGGTGCAATTGGGACACGGGTCGAGTACACAGAGGCAGGGTAGGGCGGTGTAGGGCGACTACAGCATTTGCATAACCACGCAGGAATTGAAGGCTTAACGAGGGTAAATCGGAGGGGGAAAAAAGAGAATATAATTGAGGTAAATGAGGTGGTAATGAATCTCGAACCCTCAAAGCTTAGAACTGCCAGCTATGGACAAGTTGAAGGTGGCCTTCCGTGTGTTTGGCCCGAACCAAACACTGCAAACAGGTGGCATCACGATTGAAGGCAGCGTATTTGTCCCTCCAACTCCCCTCATTCTCTCCATATTTCGCTTGAATTGAACTTGATCTATACATCTTTGATCATTTTGATCCACCATGCAGGTTGAAGTCGATCCCAAGGAGGATACCGAGTGGTAAGCCCTATTACCTGCACATACCCCCGCCGTCGGCGATGATGTATAAACCAAATACAGTGTGCTAACCATATTGTATAGGAACGATATCCTCCGCCAACATGGCATTATTCCCGAAAAGCCCAAAGACCCTGAACCTCTGATCCAAGAGGCTCTCATCGCCGCACAACACAGGGCGCACGAGAACCGACTTGAGGACAAGGACCTCGATGAGCTGGACGCACTAGAGGAGGAGGAAGATGAAGAGTTCCTCGAGATCTATCGGTAAGCCCATTCTCTGATAGATGGTATACCTAAAGGGATTCCCTTTTGCTCACTATACCAATCAAACAGGCAAAAACGACTCGCCGAGCTCTCCACCCTCCAACAAACCAGCCTGTTTAACCAGGTCTTCCCACTTCAGAAAGTCGATTATGCCCGTGAGGTGACAGAGGCATCGAACAGTGCTTTTGTACTCGTCAATCTCACATCGATGGGTGGGAACGTTGAATCGCGCGTGTTGACAGAGCTCTGGCGACAGGTTGCTGCCAAATTCGGCGATATCAAGTTCTGTGAGATCCGTGCCGACATGTGTATTGAGGGGTATCCTGAGAAGAACACGCCCACAATCTTGGCTTACAAGGATACCGAGATCAAGAAGCAGCTTATTACGCTCCAACAGTTGAATGGCCCCCGGACCAAGCTTGAAGGTAAGTTCCGTTCGAGGCAGGAGTAAAACAAGGATTAAATACTGATAAAATGCATAGATATTGAGGGTCTGCTGGTGGAGATTGGCGCTTTGAAGGAGAGTGATGTTCGTCTGAAGAAGCATGATGACGAGGACGACTACAAGAAAGACGATGACCTGAACATTGAAGATTATGATGATGACTGGGATTGATTTCCTTGCGATTGACCATTACTGCAAATATTTTATGATCTGGCTTGTGTGTATATTACGAACATTTCCAAAAAGATAATGACGCCCTTTCCATGTCGGCAAAAGCCAAGAGAATGATGCTGTACGACATTACGCGCTTGTTGGCCTCGATTTGAATTGAGTTACCTATGCCTACTATATCTACACCCGTAGTTTTTCATGGAGATAGGCTAGTCTGGGGTTCATAATGGCCCGTGGACGACTACCCAGAAGTATCGATGCCTAGTATCAGTAAATCCAACTGAAACTGCAAACCATGTAGGCAAACCATGTAGGCATTCATCAGAATGAACGTAAATAAAGTCAAAATTCAGGTATAAATAGCTCGAACGCTCATAAGCAGAACCAAATCAGATATATACCAAATTAGCAACGAGCCAAATGACATAATCGCTGTTCATCCGGGGGCCTATTGATCCCATCAATCCTAACGCCAAAGAACATCAAATCATAACTGTATCAGCGGTACCCGAAAGAGAAATACCATAGAAAACTCATCAGATCAACTCATCACGACCAACAGCCGCACTCTCCTCAATAGCCTTAAGAACCTGGCCCTCTTTAAAAGCAGGACCCTGTCCATCACACTGCGACATACCCTTCAAACGGTCCGTGACATCACCGATATCAAGCTGGCCGCGCTGAAACAGCTCATGTTTCTGAATAAGGTCCCACGTCGCACCCGCATCCAGCAGTCTCTCGCCAGTGATCGGACATACGGTGAGACGGTGGCGTGCGCCCTGAGGCGTGCCAGGGCCGTCAGCCATGAAGGTGGCATGGAAGTCCGTGGGGGAGTACTTCATCGGCCCGGTGACGGTTGGCTCTGGAGTTGCGTTTGCGCTGACATGTACGCGGTTGGCATGCTGTGATGTCGCGCGCAGGATTTCATTCTCGGTTGTGAACCGGGCTAGTTCGCGCTTCAGGCGCTCGTTGTCTGCTTGTAAGGTGTTGGATGCATCTTCAAGGCTATTTACTTTATCTTCAAGATCGCGGACATGCTGTTCCTTTCGCTCTCGAAACGCTCGTTGACTGTGTAGCGAGTGGGATTTGTCAGCGCTTGCTTTATGGGAATGGATGGCTCTGGGCGGGTTTGATATATCACATACGCTGCTCGGTTTTGTGCCTTGCGCTTGCTTTGTGCGGGCGCTGATTCCTTTTCTTCGCTGCTACTTCTTCCTAAGGTTGGGTCGGTGAATTGAGTTTCATCGCCGTCGTATGAGGTGGGGCGTGTATGCTGACTATTGGTAACATCGCTGGAAGCAGAATGCTTGACTGATTCTGGCGGTGAATGTGGTGGCGGAACAAAGGAGGGGTCGACGGGGAATGAGGGGTCAAAGCCAGAGAAGTTCTGGTAATTATTCTAGTCTATTAGCGATAAGTTCTTGAAAGAGGGGGGGACAAAGGACCTACCAAAGGCGCGAATGTGTCTGGTTGGGCATGGGGTTGGTCGGGGGTGGGCAGCCCGTAGAGCGAGAAGCCCGAGGGTTGTGATCGGGGATCATAGAAAGGGTAATCCATTACGGAATCTTAGACAGTTCCCAAGGTCTTCAAGGTTTGTTGGAAAGTTAGGAGGTGAAGGTGGGAAAACTTTGAGGGAAAATCTATTATCTGGTCAAGTTTCATGTACCGGGGGGCGTTCCCTTGTACGATGTACAGAATTCAATGTTGTCATGACATTTCCTATACGATGCCAATTTCAAGGTATACCTTCAAGGTTTACATATCCTCTCGAATATCCATCAATTTGAGTGTTCGGTACATGGGGCCTAAAATTTCGATGATATCACCGTTTTTCTACTCTTTGGGACCGGGAAGTACGGATGTACGAAGGGCCAAGTTGCAAGTCTGGTTGCCAGTTGAATAGCAGGATTGCAGTTGAGATGAAAGTAAGAAGATTGGAAGTGCAGTGTAGAGAGAGCTAAGAGAAATAACTTGACACAAATCGACGCATACCACCCCGGAAGCGACCCTAACCAATGTCCGTCGTCAACCACACCATCTTCCTGTAAAGCGGGATTGCATTACATTAGAGACCTTCTGTAAGAGTAGCTTCCGCAGTGTAGCTTGAGCAGAAATCCAGAAAGCCTGGAAAGCAATACTCCCGAAAGCCGTCCCCGTTCCATCCCCTCTTTGGCCATATTGAAGGCCACACCTCGTCCCCATTGAGCGTCGATAGTTCACAAATTAATCATCACCGGACAACAAACGCAAAAAAAAAAAAAAAAAGAACTGGGGAAGATCAAGGGCAGATAATAAACATCATGAGTAAAGAAAAGGGGCAAGCAATGATAGGCAGCGCATCCGAGGATGCATTCAAGGATCTCCAGTACCAGCGATTAAACAATCCGACGAAAAATAAAAAAAGAAATTGCGGGCTGACACCGTCATTTGCATCCCCCTTAGTCTTGTCCTCTGGTCGTTCTGACCAAAGATGCCAGGTTGGAAAGAGAAACCAAAGGGCGAAGACATAAGAATAAGCCACAATATCAGAAGCGTTTCGAGACGTGCAATCGGTTGTCCCGCAGAACGGGTACAAGAATCCGGAAAGACAGAAAATAGTCGACAAAGTTTTCGCAAACTCAGCGCAGGAGTGACCACCCAATTGGCAAAGGTTTCATGGGGCTGAAGGCGAGCAGGCGATAAACAAAGGCGAATCGAAACGGCTGAGATCGAAATCTGATCGAACACGGGATAGGAGGGCTGTCGGGGAGTGCAGAATGAATAGAGATCCAAGAAAAAAAAACAAAGAAATGTCCGAGAGGGCTGAGTACGACATGGTCCGCTCTAGGGCGACATGAACGGGTCCCCGGTTTTCTTAGTAGATAAGAATGTGAACAGACGGGAGGCAAATGCGAAACATAGCCTCACCGTCGTGTAAACACGATTAGTACCACTGGGCCTCCGCTCCTTCGTCCCGCTTCGAACGGCCACCAGAAGGTCCATAACCCAAAGCAGCACCTTTCGAGGCAGAACGTAGCCTAACGCCGAAGACTATGCGATTAGTCAGATTCAGAACATAAGGGTCCTCCACGCCAGCGTCACGAAATGCAAATCACCCAACGTAGGAGTTAAGAAAGAGGGGTCCCTACTCGGAACCAGGTTTCATGTACTCACATCCTATCACTACCTCCCACGGCACGGTTGGTGTCCGGAGTGTCGAGGGCGCCCCGTTCGACGACCTTACGGCGCTGGCTGGAGATGGCACCGGGCTTGGCGGCGCCACTGGCTCCCATCTGGCCAGCCGCAGGCAGAGCCTGGCGGCGTTGCTGATCCTCAGCATCCTTGTCCTTCTTGGAAGCGTCCACGATCATGGCAGCGTTCTTCTGGTACTTGTAAACGGTCCAGTCGAAGACGTAGTCGTACTGGAAGGACTCGCGGACGAAGAGGTCACGGAAAATCTTGCGTAGGTAGGAGTAATCGGGCTTGTCGTCGAAGCGGAGCGAACGAGTGTAGTTCAGGTAGATGGCGAATTCGTTGGGGAAACCACGGCATAGGACTTCGGTGGGGGTGGTCATCTTCTTCTCCATAATGCGGTCGTATTTCTGCTTCTTGGTAGCAGCCTTCAGACCCTGCCAGGGGAGAGAGCCACGGCAGAAGTAAAGCATGACATAACCCAGAGATTCCATGTCATCACGTCGAGACTGCTCAACACCGAGATGAGTGTTGATACTAGCGTAACGGGCAGTTCCAGTGAGGTTCTTGTTCTCACGGTAAGGAATATGGAAGTGGGTCTTGGGGTCACGGTATTTCTTCGCCAGACCGAAATCGATCACGTTGACCTGGTTGCCACGCTTGCCAATGCCCATGAGGAAGTTGTCGGGCTTAATATCACGGTGAATGAAGGACTTGGCATGGATGTATTCGATGCGGGAAATGAGCTGATCGGCGAGAAGTAGGACGGTCTTCAGCGAGAACTTGCGGTTGCAGAAGTTGAAAAGATCCTCCAGACTGGGTCCCAGCAGATCGATGACCATAGCATTGTAATCGCATTCGGTACCGAACCAACGGACGAAGGGAATACCGACACCACCGGCAAGGGACTTGTAGACACGGGCTTCGTATTCAAGCTGGGGGTGCTTGGCCTTGACACTCTCGAGCTTGATGGCAATCTCTTCGCCGGAGATGATGTTCGTTCCTAGAAGTTATGAGTTGTTGTGCAGTGGTCAAGCCAGATTTGTTATATCCATACCGAGATAAATGTCACCGAAACTGCCACTGCCGATCTTACGGCCAATGCGGTACTTGTTACCGACTCGCAAGTCCTGGAGGCAGTGTCAGTAAAACGCGTGGTTCAGTCGTCTTATTGACCATCCGAAAGTTATAGTATAATCCGAGCGTAATATTCAAGCCACTCAAGGCATGTCTCCGAGTGAAGAAGAAAGAAAAAAAAGAAATCGGGGGTGGCTAACACTGACCATGGTCGTCATCTTGAACCGATGGGGGCACAGCACTTAGCCGTGAGAAAGGACTTGAGGCTAGAAGGTTCAGAATGTTAGATTGTGTTCGAACCCTGCCGAAGAAAAAAAACCGATATGCAAAAGCTGAGATTGATGGAGTATAAAGGGGTGTAAAGGAGATAGAGAGGAAGAGAGAGAGGTGTGAGGGAAAGAAACAGGAAATCAGTGAGAGGGGTTGCCAACTGAGCCTCAGGCAACTCGAGAAGGCTGGGCCAGATCAGCTAACGCAGGGAATAGAAGCAGAAGCAGAAGCAGATACACCACAGAATTTGGGTAAATGATGCAATGAAAGAAGGAAAGCAAATGTAATAGACCACTGGAAGTCAAAGGTAAAAAGCCGAATCAATCTAGGCATACCTGGAGATAACGGATCAAAGACGTGTTGCCGACCGTACTGAAATGGCTCGAATGGCTCGAATGGCTCGAATGGCTCAAGAACAGATGAGCCGGGAAGATCCGGAAATTTTTCAAAAAGAAAATAAAGAAGGGCCAAAGCCTTTAAAA